CCCCCCCCCCCCACATTCACTGTGTATGTGTCAGCAACTCAGTCCACGCAGTCCGTCCAACTGTGTGTGTTTGTGTAGAGTGGCGGACTGGTGGGCTGGGAGCCGAGAGATGCGCCGTTCAACCCCCGTTGTGTGAAATCCTGGTGCTTGTGCTTTGGGGGGCCAGGTCGTGCATGTGGCGCGCGCAGACAAGGCCACCAAACCATGTTAGCCACCGCGCCCATTCCCCGCTCCAATTAACTGACCGGCCCGGACAGTGGCTGAGGCATGGGAATGAGAAGGGAGAATTAGGTGGACAACCTAGCGCATTTTCCTCACTATAAACAATCTGACGCGCCTGAAGCTTTCGCGGTGCGCTAAAAGCCATGGCTTGGAAGGTTGTCAACTAAGGGGATAACTTGGACCTCGTAGTCGGCCTAGTGTTGTGTGTGTTTGTGTGGAGCGGCCGGCTGGTGGTGTAAGAGTCAGGCTGCAATGGCTCCTTCTTAATGTGGCCTATATGGCACTCCCACCGCATGGGATCCGAACCGGGTGTGGGCGGTACGTCTAGGTGCGGCTTCGGCCGTGCCAGCCTCCAATTTCTGTTGTTGTTGGTCAAAAGCCTGCCTATTTGTTGTGTGGTCTAGGGAGTGACGAGTGAAACGCCAAGGTGCGGGCTCGACCGTGCCATGCACCTGAGCCCCACGTCTCCGGTCCTCTTGACTCTGTCTTGACACCGGATCCAGGCGGGGGAAGGGGGGAGAGAGTGCAGTAGATGCAGCGCAAGTCTGCTCTCACTATAAATCACGCGCAAGTCACCGTCACTGCTCCCACCCTGCTGTGCAGCATTAGGTGGACATCGTCGGATACGGCGCTCGAACTGTCGTATGTATCAGCAACAAGATGAAGTCGATACGCCTGAAGACGAGCTCATGAGCAATGACGAGCATAATTACGTGGCCTGTCTAGGCTCGGCGCACACGGACCCGTTTCTGGTGAGAGGGTCTCAACTCTCAAATAAGTGAGAAAACCATAAAAGCTATTACGGCCTGACCCTCTTTCTTGACTTAAGCATAATGGCCAGGACATCTCTTTCCTAATGTAAATAGTTCGTACGTAGTTTCGGGAGTCAAATCGAGAAGTATTTTTGCGGAAGAAGGTGGGCGATGTAAAATGACCGATAATCAATGTCGGGCGTGTTTCGCTTTTCGTACTCGGACTCAAGAGGGCCCTGGGCTAAAATTAAAGTTAGCCAAATAAACATCGGGGTCGGGGTACCTTTGTAGGACTGATAGTCACCCTGAAGCCCTTTAACTTCTGGTCCTGGTTCTAGGGGCCTGTTTTATCCGCCGAAGTGGTTCATTGATATGATTAAAGTTTCCAATTTCCTCGTAGGATGTGCAGTTGGTATCATCCGAATTCTATAGCATCCCATCTAGAGTCTCAGAGTATTGGGTTTCTAGGCTACCGGCGCAGCATGCAGGAACCTGCGGAATATCAAACTTTCAACTGTGCCATAGGCATTGTTGTGAATGGCCATAGAGTCTTATGCTCGTACTGATTACGATGACACGCATGGCACTCTCGTCTACTGTAAGTTTGTATGGGTTCCAACTTTGGTTAGCGTTATTCTAAGACGGTCTCGCACAGCGTTCAGACAAAATTTTTAGTCCCCCTCGGATGCTAAGCAGTCCAGACTATCCATTAGGTTTAGAAGTATTCAAAGGAAGTGGACTTCGGTCGCTTTGTTGCCTGACTCGTTCCAGTGCATTTCGACACGATAGTGTTTTTACACAGTTTCGCTTGCTCTCAAAAGGGTGGTTACTGCGAATATTTGGAATACAGGAGAGGTTTTTAGTTCTCTGCCGCACTTTCAGCAGATGGGCATGTCCAGGAACGGCAGCCGGCGGTACTTTTACTCCACAACTGTAAAGTGTATGGCCGGGAAGATTAGGCTTGGACGTTGAATGGGCCCCTACTCCCGCCCCGATCGGCGATGGTGCAAGCGTCATCAACAGACCGTACGCGCACCTCCGGTCGACATATTCAAACTCCGCGCCTTTAATTTTTGCAATGCCATTTCAGCAAGTAGACCGGACAGTGGCGACTCCATTGGTGTGCAGTTTGGTTGTTGGCTCACAGCTGCATTAAATAAAGTCTTCTGTCTTTCAACAGATCGACAAGGTCCCGTATCGTTGATTTTTGTCCGCCTCGTTACAATGTTCTTCCAGAAAACTTCAACGGTTTCAGCCACGAAATGTGGGATTGGGATGGTTGGGCTCGAGTGAGAGCCTGTAAGGCACAACGGAACGAGTGAGTTCCGTAAGAACGGAAGAACATTGTATATTCCCGATCGAAACCGACAGGGCAACGGGCTCGTGGCCCAGTGGTTAGAGGCGTGGACTTCGAGTTCGTGGTCGTGAGTTCGAGCCTCGGGTGTTCCCACACTTCGGGATTGGGTATGACTGACCGACGACGGCTAATAAGCCAGAAATGCTCATTCCAGTCTCCCTTGTCTTTGTTGGTAATAACATACTAATGGAAGGGGACCACCATCAGTTCGTAATTCATAGCTCGCACATCATGCAACTTTTGTGAGAATTTCTCAGATAAGTAAACAGTTGTTTCATAGTCCCAGTGTGCAACAGTAGGACGTCGAAAAACTACCCTGTCTGACCAACCAGTGGGGTTTCTCCGCGGAACAATCGACCTTAAAGATATTCGTGCTTCGCAAATTTTCAAAAGTCCTTGGGATCTCGCAGTCGTGACATGCCTTAGCTTCTTCTTTCGACAGTCGGTGTCCGTTGTGACTTTTGTCTTCCGAAGTTTGGGCGCTGTTTGCTGTTGTCCTTGTGCCATCATTGTGATGAGCACGCTTAGTTTTATCACCCATTAGTGCCCTGGTCTTTTTGACATACTCGTTACGAAAAAAATTCGATATATCTTCTGGAACGCCTGCATTGCACTGCATATATAGGCACCCAGTGCCCTCAGTCCGATACTTTAACGTCAACTGGCAGTCTAGTTTGTGTAACAACAAAGCTTACAAATGCGGAAACCCAATTCACATAATGCTTTTCGTTTTTTTCAGAATTGCGACAGCACATCTGCGGGTTTTGCGGCAAGTCATTTGGGCGGAGGTACTACCTGAAGTTGCATGTTGATGGCATCCACAAAAGTACGGCTTCCTTTCCCGAACTGGTTTGCTGTTTCAGTTTTTTACGAATTAATATTTTGTGTCACGCTAAATAAGTGGGAAATGTTGTGGTTCTGAACTTTTACGGAGAATCCTAGGCTTGCGTATTCGCCGAATTTTAGATTGCTCTTACGCCTGGTATTATTAATGTAACCTGTACCCATAGCGAAACTTTGGACCACATAACGCTCAGTGATCAAAGAGCCTGGGTTAAAATTCCATGTCATCCAGGGGTGGCCTTGGGTATGGCTAGCTGACAGCGACAGATTAGCCAGATATGGCCATCCCAGCCTCCTTGGCGATGTCCCCCTTCTCCTTGGAGGTCACATACCAGAAACCGCATAGAGCACGCTGGGGGACCCACTTAGGAGCCGAACCCCTCGCAGCTGTGTCACGCAGGGGCAGAATATGGACTTCTAGCAAGGACGTATGTCGGGAGTAGGGTTTTATGACCATCTGTCATGTAAAATATATATTTATATGTTGAAGAAGGCTGGAAGGCAATTGCCTGGACCAGTTGTTTCTTTATCCGAAGTTGCAAACTCCCACGCGAGCCCATCGTCAAGAGATGGAGAAAACTGTACAAATCATCGCATATTTGGCTCACCTCTGCCGGGGATGACCTCCAGCTGCGTTACTGATTTGTTCACGCGATATAAAGGATTAGCGGATAAAGGATGACAAAGGATAAAGGATAAAAAAATGAAGGATAAGGGATAAAGGTTAAAAGGATATAGAAGGATAAAAAGGATATAAAGGATTAGCGGATCGACATGTCGGGTAATCGAGTCCTCAGCTGTGTGCCGCACTTTCGGCGGCAGACGCACAACTCGGTTGTCCGACTGGCTCAATATTCTTACGCACTTAAAGCCGTGCCCTAGCGAGGAGGTGTGAGCGGGTACCAAGGAGAGTCTGTCCCTCCGTCTCGTGCTTATGGAATCTCGCGCGAACATAACTGGCTTGACCACAGTTTGACCAGCGATTTCTCATTAATGAGGATCGGGTCCTTGAGGTGCATGAGTTCCGGGGGATTGTTGCTTCACGTCTGGGAGCGACGCCAATCCCAAATTTGCTCATCGGTCTAGCAAATTTTTCTAACACACCAGCTATATGCGGCACTGCGCGCCAGCATTTTGGTTTTGGCTCTTCCTTAGGTATTCTTCCCCGAGTTTCTCGACTGTACTTTTCGACAAAATTCTCTGGGTAGCCATTCGCTGCGAAGAGTTTCCACAGAAACTGGACCTCGACCTTCCTGTCGGCTGGCTCGGTACGATGGGTTTCTTCACGTCGGTAGGGTGTTATCAGGCAACTGCGTTTGTGCGAAAAGGGATGGTTGCTGAGAAAACTTAGACTACGGGAGGTATTAATCGCCTTCCTGTAAACGGCAATTGTCAACCTTTTTCTTCCTCCATCGTAAATTGGATATCTGGATATGAGTAGCTCGCCTATCTCATGGGGCGTCAACCGAAATTCTGAAATGCTTCCAATCAAAAGGATCATTTGGGTAGTTTTCTAGCGTTGATCATTGTGTGGCACAGTTCCCATGATGTGGGCTTTAGAATGTACTTTTTTCTGACCGCCTGCAAAATCAACACTCGGCGAAAAAGGACTGCTTAAGTAGTGTGATTATCCCCATTTATTTTCGATGTTCTGATAAATTCAACTGCATTTTATGTAAAGCATGCACGAAAGTATTCATATACTCGTTTTGTAGTAAAGTACGCCGTCAAGTTTTGTGCTCCAAAAGGTATCTCCCGATTTAAAAACGTTTCCAACGGCCGACTAACTTAGAACCCTACCTGTGCTTAAGGGATCCCGACTACATGCAGTACAAAGAACGCCTACTATACGTGTTTAAGTAGGTCGTGTTTTGTTCGATACTCCCCTGGATATGGTTGTTCATCACGCCTTACGGGCTGCATCATTCCAGATTCTAGTACCTGTTCTTGTTTGAACTTTTTGTTGTGGACCAGATAAAGAGACATTAAACAGAAGAACTTTTATTTTCATTTTAGAACTGCAGCCGTTCGCGTGTGAGCTTTGTGACAAGGCCTTTGTGTTGCAGAGGGAACTGAAGAGGCATATCGACGTAATTCACAAAAGTGCGTTCCTTTTTCCCTAACGATCTTGTGTTTCTGTTCTTCAAAGAACTCAGTGGCGTACTGTCTGTGTTGGTCTTTCAACCACTCAGGGATCGGGATATTGGTAGATTTGACAACATGCGTTTGTGAGGTTGATCAATTTTAAAGCAGATGGACCTCCTCGTGCGTCCCTGTCGGTTACATATCTGCCCACTCCTTCTTCTGACCAATTGAAATTGGACTGGAACAGCAGCGTATAGGGTACATTAGGCAGTCCTATGCGCATTTAGTTTGTTCGTTTTCGTAGTGCAGCCTTGTAAAGGGAGGTGTCTGAGCGCCTTTCACCGAACGGTTCTTTCATTATGTTGCCTTTCTAAGCCTACTACTTATACAATGCAGAGAGGACTTGGTGCCACGGTGTGGTCTTAAAAATCTATTATTAGGTATGCCACCTACAACATGCCCCTCAGTCAGGCGTTCAGTCTTCATGTACAATCGGTGGCCGATCTCATGGAATTTTGGCTGAAATTCTGAAATGCGTTTCCGATTTGGGAAAGATTACTTAGGCGCGCGTGTAATACTGATTATCTTGCGACATAATCGTATATAATATTTCGGACTCGGCAGGATGTCATCTTTTGAATGCACTTCTTTTTGACCTCCTGCAGAAACCGCACTCTGTAAAAAAATTACTACCTAAGTGGCATGTGTTTTTCACATTGGTTTTCGATGGTCCTACGAATTCGAGTATATTTTATAGAAACCACGAACAAAAGTATGCTTTCTTTCAGTCTTTTGATAAAGAATCACGTCATCTTTATATTTTACACTCGAAAAGGAAGTATAATTAGGTTTTAAAAAGTTTCCAATTATGAGATTTTTAAGACCGACCATTTATACAGCATCGTGCCTGTACGTTTAACACAGCTCCTCATGAAATTGTATAACATGGTCCGCATCCATTGCAAAATTTTACAGACTCTGTATGATATCTCTCTAATGGCACAGAAAAATGTGTGAGTTTCTTTACGCGGAGTACATGCACCTTGCATACGGAAATCACTAAGCGCTAATGCAACGACTGATCAGGCTCCAAATTCTTCGGGAATTAGATTACTTTTTTAAAACCTAATTATACTCCTTCGAGCATAAAATATAAAGATGACGTGATTCCCTATCAAACGACTGAAAGAAGGCATATTTTTGTCCACGGTTTCTATAAAATATATATTCGAATTCTCAATACCATCGAAAATAAATGTGAAATATGTATGCTAATTAAGTAGTCATTTTTAACCGAGTGTGGTTTCTGCAGGAGGTCGAAAAGAAATGCATTTAAAAGCAGACAGCATGGCGAGTACGAAATACTATAGCGTTATGCTTAATGCTAATCAGTGCTACAACTTTACCTAAGTAATCCTTCCTAATCGAGCACGCATTTCAGAATCTCGGCCAACATTTCATGAGATCTGTCACGCACTGTACCGATAGTCTACTGGTGTTGTTAACTTCATTGCCTCTATTAAACGTCGAAAACGTTTTCCTCTCCGAAGATTCGCCATTCTTCTGCAATGATGTCCTATGTAAGCATTCAGGAAGCCATAGTCAGCAAACTTACATTTACTACAACTTCATCATCAGGCCTATAATCGTGGCTCACCTGGTTCGCGGCGGCCACCAAGTAGACGATAGCCAATACTTCTCAGTTATATATACAAGGTGCCTGTGGACTGCTTAAAATGCTTAGGACAGCAGGGGCGATGGCGATGCCGTCTTATGCCCACATAGGACTATCATTGAAGCCCCCTAGTTACCCTGTCCCACACTAGACCCCACACATTCCTACCTGCATATTGCCATGTCGCATTACGGCAGTAAAACACAACTTTATCCCTCTGACACCTTTTTTCCTGACCTCAGATCAGGATCCCACTTCCTTCCTTTTTGTGCAATGTCCAGGCATCCCTCAATTGTGCCTTCTGTCCCATGTCATTGACTGTTTTGGCCTCTCAATGCCTTCCCGTAGCGTGCATTATTGTATAAGCCTGAGACGGAGTAATCGAAAATGCGCGTTTGTTTGGGGGTTTGACGTTTGCGTAATTTGGGTTCAAGTAGGTACCTTCTATCAGTTGACAGCTCCTTTCTTTCTTCAAGGAAATCAGTGGTTACTATTTCGATGATCCGAAGTTAACATTGAATCTAATTTTTAAGGTTTTATCTAATTTCCGCCTTCAATCAACTGAAATCCCTTTCTCTTTTTGTTGCAGAACTGCGGCAGTATGCGTGTGAGGTTTGTGGGAAGGCCTTTACGAAGAAGGGAGACCTCAATAAGCATGTAAATAGTGTCCACAAAGGTGCGCTTCCATTTCTAAATGCTCTACCAGTTCACTTATGACAGATCTGTTTTTAATGCGTATTGTTGGTTCCCACACGACGGTTTTATCGGATATCACCCTTTAACGGCATTAAGTTGGCTTGAGGAAAGCATTTTCTGGGAGTCTTGACTTGTGTGAAGAACGTCAGTAGTCCCGACGACCCTTTTTGTTTAACAAACTATCAGATTGGGACGACAAGAACCCCGGGATTATGGACATGCCTGTTGGTCTACCTGGAGGCTGCTCGGGATGTCCGCAGGCGTTAGATAACTCAGCGCCCTTAAGGCAAAGGTCAACTGTGAAATGAGCAAACTCTGGACTCTGACCTATAAGCAGTTGTGGAGCCTACAACGGTAATACCTGCAGGTATGGCTGCAAATTGATTTGGCAATTCAGTCGACTATAAAAGTTTTCCAAACCGGAGCGATTTTGTAACATAGTGGGGCTGTAGCGGCCAACATAGTTGGTGTACCTTAATCAGCACAGTAGTTGGGACCCAGTCTGTTGTAGAGGAAAGGAGCATTCTGTAAAGATGCTTCACTGCCGTCAGATCGGCTCTGGGTCTGCGTGCGCCTCTGTCCGCGAGGGTGACGTAAGCGCGAAAGACTAAGTGTCACGTGAGAACCAGCGAGTGCTTCGGTTTGGTGAGTTAATTGGCTGATTACGGTTTGTGGGCGCCTGTGGTTGGCTGTCCCCCCACACGTCTCCCAGTCATCTTGGTCCGATAGCAAGGCCATGCCAGGGGGGGGGGGCGGAGGCTGGCTCGGGCGCAGTGGCTGACAGTGGTCGTCACTGAAGGCGCTGAGTTTGCAACCGGACACCGACTGACTGATCTCGACTATGCCGACGATATTCCCTTACTTGCTTCAAGTTTTGGTGATCTGCAGTCTGTGGTGACACGAATGAACGAGGTTGCTAAATCGGTCGGTTTATCCATTAACGCTGGGAAGTGTTTTCAAGTTGAATACCTGACCAGGAAAAAGCACCTCTCGGGATTGATGGCTGTCAACATGAAGAAGTAGGCAGTTTTAAACATCACAGGACGAGGCTGCTGCCGAATGGACAGAGTAACGTTGACATTGTCTCTCCAGAAGATGAAGATGCGATCACTGGGACAAGAAGTTTATTGGCCTGACGTTTCGGGTTCTCACTCGAGCCCATCATCAGA